TTTTGTTCTTCAATCTAGTTGTGGAGGACGTTGCTTCACTGGCCCAAGTTGGCACCATCATTGCGCTCTTCCCAGGTGAGGCAGATCAGTCGCCGTCTTCTGGAAGGCCATAATTTCATTATTCTTTATTTGAGTTGAAATACTTCTATAAAGAGCAACTTTTTCTCATCAGCTATTACCCTGAGGTACAGTCCACATATAAATGCTTGATTGTTTCAAATACAAATTTTCAAAATAAGTTGGTTCTCTAGCACTTTCCAAAGGTGGTTGGTTAACAAGTTGTTGTTCTTGTTGTTGTTGTTCTTAATATTATTATAAACTCATGGATATAAGCATACAGTTGGCCTTACCTATCTGCTTGTTCTTCACCCGTGAAGTCAACCAACCACAGATTGAAAATAAAAGTTACATTGTTGCTGATGTGTACTATGCAATTAAGCCTACAATGTATTGAACATATACAACTTTTTTTGTCATTCATTATTTCCTAAACAATACAGTATAACAACTATTTATATTATATAGGTATTATAAGTAATCTAGAGATGATTTAAAGTGTACAGGAGTGTGTCCATAGGTTATATGCAAATACTATGCTATGTTATATTAAAGGACTGGAGCACCCTTGGATTTTGAGATCCTCAGAGGTCCAATCCTCCACAGATACTAAAGGACGACTGTATTTGATTTCCTTCAGTCCATTTTAGGTACTTTTTTTCCACATAAGGGTGCATTTATTTGAAATTTAACATGAAATCATACAATTATCCATCAGCAAAGCAAGTAAGTCCATGCAAGGGCTCTTTAAGAACACCTGGGACTCCAGCGGCCCTCCATCTCACCTAGCCGCAATCTCCACTGGCTTTCACAGCCAGAAGTTGTGGGGACTTTTTTTCCTGGCACTGTAACCCTAGGCTGGGAGTCTGGTATGGAGTTGGGCACCCTCACTTCTCAGGGGTGACCTCCGCAGCTGAGATATCCCTCTGTCCCTCTCAATTTTTAATTGCCACACATGGGTGTGAGACTAGCCCAATCTGCATCTCTGCCCCTCCTACCAGTCTTTCTCTTTTTTTCAAAAAAAGATTTTATTGGGGAATTGGGGAAGGAGAACAGTGTTGGGGAATTGGGGAAGGGGAACAGCCAAGTTGTTGTCCTTCAATCTTAGTTGTGGAGGGTGCAGCAAGCTCAGCTCCAAGTCCAGTCGCCATTTGGCCACCGGTTGGCAGCTCATGGTTGCTCTCTCAAAGTGCCATGTTCAATCTTAATTACAGGTGGGCATAGCCCACCATCCCCAGCGATAGTCGAACCGGAAACCTTGTTGTTAGGAGCACGTGCTCTCACCAACTAAGCCATCCTGCCACCTGTTGGCAGCTCAGTGGCAGTTCAGCTCGGGTGCAGCTCATTGGCCCATGTGGGAATAGAACCAGTGACCCTGTTGCTCAGAGCTTGTGCTCTTAACCAACTGAGGTACTCGGCCAGCCCATACTAATTTTTTAAAAGTGAACTCATTTGCATAAATGAATTCCCTGAATTGTGGAGTTAATCTTTTATGTAAATTAATGTTTTATAGATATCTCAGGAAATTCCACAATAATAATTTTTATTAAATCTGAACTCTATTGTATTTTGCATGTCAAGAAACCCTTTGGGCTGAAGAACCTGATATCTTGCTCCTTGGCATGTTGCCAGTTTGGCTCAAATAAACTTATGAAAACTCTCAAAAAAAAAAAAAAAAACCCAAGAAAAAACCCTTTCGATTTTCCTATTCCTATTTACCTGACTTTATTAAAGATTTGAGAAGATAACAGGGGTCAGTCTGGCATAGTCATAGATCATAGAAAGGAGTAAAATATGTTAGAAAAGCCAGGCAAAAGTCCTCACAAAGTGGCATCATGACCATGTTGGAAGTGAATTCACAAATTTCACACACCTCCTAATGTAAGTAGAAAGACATTCCAGACCTATTATTTTGCTTGTGTGTTTAGTACACATTGTCTAAAAACTGAATGAAAAAAAACATCAATATTTACTGACTCTAGTATGTTACTAAATTAGCTTTTCTCTTTGAAATAGACCTCAGGCTCAACTTTTTACCTCAAGCTTTTGTGAATTAGACAGGCTATATGTCTATATTTCAACTGTGTAAGCTAAACAGAGAGAATCTTTCCTTTCTATCACATAGGATTCAGGCAGGGGTCACAAAATTTTAGTTAGAAATTAGAGATTTTATTTTTTTATTTTTTATTTTGAAAAAGACATAATAGACAAAATACAAAAATAAAACCAAAACAACCAGGCATATCAATATTTGTGATGATATGATACGTTAACATTACATATGTGTGTGTGTGTGTGTGTGTGTGTGTATGAAATCACATGAAGAAAAAGCATAGGAAGATATTTGAAACCAAGGCTAGACTTGAACAGACTTCTGATGAAATACAACTAAAAGTTTTTCTTAAGTATTTAGGCAATATTTAAGATATTATTACCACTCTTCTATATCTCATTTGCAAAAGTCAGCAAAGTCGGCTTCAAAACATGATCCCTGGTTGTTTTACTAGGATATCTTCTGGTGACGATCCTGCTTCCTTATGAACAACTACTTTGCTCATCCACTGTGTTGAGGTCTTCTTGTCTTAAGGAGTGTGATGAACACTAGGATCAGTGAACCCTGGTGATACAGAGAATACGATAGTATAAAAATACTGATGCATACATTTTAAAGCAAAAGAGAACCCCAAATCGGAAAATAAGCCAGGGGTAGCTATAGTGCTGATACAAATGAATACATCCTGAGGCTTAGTAAGTCTTAGAATTCCAATTCCTTATGCACAATAATCTCAGATAGGTAAAATATTTCAGCATTTTGTAAAGTAAACCATTTATCAAAATGGGCCTTTTTCTTTGCTTTGCTCTGCCTTTCTTCTTTGCCTATTCCTAAGGCTGCCAGTGAACATCCTCGGGAATTGCTTAGTGTGTCAGGGTCCCCAAGACCCACCCCACCCAAGTTTGATGATATGCTTGGAGGATTCACAGGACTCAGCATATCATTGTATTCACGACTACGATTTATTACAGTGAAGGCATAAAAACAAAACAGCAAAGAGAAAAGGTGCACAGGGCAAAGGCCGGCGTAAACCAGGTACAGCTTCCAGAGTCCTCTGCCAGTGGAGTCACATAGTGTAGAACGTGCTTAATTTCCCCAGCAACTGAGTCGTGATGTGTGAAATGTTTACCATGAAACAGATACAATGCCCAGGATTATTTTTGCAGGCTAGTCACATACGTATCTTCTGCCTAGTATGTACCAAAATTCTAGACTCCCAGGAGGAAAGTAGGTGTTCAGCACAAACCTCACTGTACAAATAGCTTAGTCACAGAGAGCTTTTATCAGTGAGAGTGGAAGGAACCCTCTTGAAATCTAAGTTCCCAGATGCCAGTAAAGGACCCACCTTGCAAGCAAGTCTTTCAAAAGATAGCAGTCAGGCCTGCTATGTTACTCATTTCTGCACATTTAATGTCAACCACACAGGAATAACCAACATACCTTCAGATTGAAGAAGACTCTTGTAAATCAGAAACAAGCATTAAAAAAAGAAAATAGAGTCTGCTGCCTGAGATATGGAAATATGGATAATACACTCATGTTAATAAATTGTGATAGCTATATTTGATCTTCACGAGTTTTATTGAAAAGTGGAATGAATATATTAACAGAAAAATTTATTTTGGTTTTAATGAATTTGGAATCTTAGTACTACAATATAAATAGGGCTCTTTCATCTTTCAGCATTACTAGCAGCAAAGCCGATAAATACCCATGTTACCACTGACTAGAAACGGACTTCACATGACTACACATAATTAAGCAAAATATAAACAGTTGAATCACTTGGCATTAATAGTTTAGACATGAACTTTAGAAGAATAAGGTAAAGAAGGCATTATAATACCATATTTATGAAGATAATTTTCTTCAGCTAATATTTTGGGGATACAAGAGGAAATTTCCTTTTGTTGTTCTCGCCACTTGAGTATATTCTCTGCCAATTCTTCTGTCTCAGTCACCAAAATATCCATCTTTGCTAAAGCTTTGCTCTGTAACATTTGAAAGAAGGGGAAAATAGGAGAGACATTATGTCTGTCATTAATACATCATCATGATATCACAAATGGTTATGATACCAAAGGTTAATAATAATGCCTACTCTTTCCAGCCCCTGAATACAAAGGCACTCTCCCACTCCCTACCTTAGAATACACACTTTTGCTTTGTGAGCTCACCTCTCCTTTGTCTTCAGCTCCCACCTCAATGCAGATGACCCTCTATATTGTTAAACCTAATCTCCTTCCTAAAATTCAACCCCGCATTTCAGTCTACTAGAAATCTTCATCTGAAGTACATTTAATATTGATTTAACTGCAAACTCAATTTCACTGCAGTTCAACGAACAATAACTGAACATTTACTATCTGTACAAGACATATCAAAAAAACAAACTCATTAACTTCTTTAATCTCTTGCGCCTACTCACCCTCAAGTCACCAAAGCTAGAAACTTTGTTACCTTGGATATGTCCCTTGTCCAGATAGTAGCCACATTCTAGAAATTTGACCTTCACCATCTAAAAATCTACACAATCCTTTGTATTCCTATGCTTTAAATCTTTTATCTGAGTGACTATATTTATTCTCCAAGTTTCTCTGCTTTTGGTTCCTCTGCCTAACCCTATAACCCAGTTTATCAAACTTTAATGTGCACAGGAATCACCTGAGAAACTTGTTAAAATGTAGATTCAGATTCTGAAGGTCCAAGGTGAATGAAGTCTGCAATTCTGCATTTCTAACAAACTTCCAGGTGATGCTTATGCTGATGCTCTACCCACAGAGTGGCAAGGTTCAGTCTACTCTAGCCAGTATTTCCTCTGTGATTAAAGTACAGTTCTGATCAAGTCACTCCTTTGTTCCCTTCTCTAAAAACAAAACAGAATGCAACAAAACAAAATTCAATGGTTCCCCAGTACTCAGAGAGCAGTCTAAACTTCTTAGTCTGGTTTCCAAGGCATTCCACAAATTAACCCTGATCAATCTCCCTCTCAATATTTTAAGCATCACTCAAAGTGGAGTACCACTCTTCCCTCCAACTACCTGTGCTCTCTAATTTTCATGTCTTTCCTCACACTGCTGCGTTTGGCTGAACTATTCTTTCTGATGCATGTCCAAATCTCACCGATTCTTTAAGATTCAGCTCACTACTAACTCCTATATAAAACTTTATTGAAGTGTTCTACCCCCTATCCTACTCCCAATCTCCCTAAAGTGGAAGCAATCTCTCCCTTTTCTGTGCTTAATAGATTTCTTTATAATTCTCTGCTGCATTCACTGTGCAAAAATAATACTATAAAGTCGAAAGTGTGTTATAGTTCTCTCACCAAAACTTGAGAATTTGAGGTCAGAGATTGGTCATATCTGTTTATCTCTCATACCTTGCACAATGAAGATAATATGTATTTATTAAATATTGGAATAAAAGAGTGTAAAATAACTTTTATAGAAAAATGATATAAAAAAAGAAAAGGCACCTGATTAAAAAACAATTCGCTCATCGGGCCGGCCGAGTGGCTCAGTTGGTTAAGAGCTCGCTCAAGAGTTTGAGCTCTGAGCAACAGCGGTTCGAGTCCAGCCTGAACTGAGCAGCCGCTGAGCTGCCAACAGGTAGCAGGATGGCTCAGCTTAAAAAAAAAACAATTCGCTCATAATATTACCCATCAAAAAGTTAAACAAGGGCTGGCAGAGTGGCACGTTGGTTGGGAGCTGGCTTGGGACGCCAGAGGGCTCCGGTTCAGATCCCACATTTGAGGGCCAGTGACACTGTCCTCTGCAGCTAAGATGCTTAACAACAGCTCAACCTGGAGCTGGGCTGACGTGGGTCGCTGGCGACGGCATAGGCTGCAGCCCCTGCTGCAGTGGGTTGCCATGGGCTACCGTGTGTAGCCAGCAACCAGCGTGAGCAGCCGTCCAGAAGCCAGCAATTGATCTGCCTCGCCTGGGAAGAGCGCAATGATGGTGCCAACTTGGGCCAGTGAAGCAACGTCCTCCACAACTAGACTGAAGAACAAAAGGACAGCAACTTGTTTGTTCCCCTTCCCCCAATTCCCCAATAAAAATCTTTAAAAAAAAAATTAAACAAGTAGGTCACACATTTGAGATCTATTGTAGTATAAAAGAACTAAAGACAGCTAAAGGTAATGTGAAGGAGTTAATGAGGTACTTAAATGCTATTGTTAATACTCACCATTTTCTTTAGATTTGCATCTAAATGAGGGATATTTCTAATTGTTTCAAGATGGGTTTCTAATCTCTCAATGAAAGTCACTGCCAACTCCAACAAATGTACCATGTATCTGAAAGAGGAAGAACAAAAGCCAATTTTTTTTTTTTTTAGTTTAGTTATTTTGTGTTCTCTTTTTCCCCTTTAATTAGGACTTTTAATAGAGAATTAAAATCAACCCAATGATCTAATAATAACATTTCTGCATTCATGGAAATATCAGTGATTTTAAAAAAAGGGTCCTTTTTCATTTTAAGTAGGAATTAACTTGTCATGCAAACAGAAAAACAGAAAGAGACAACACTATCATATCTGGAAGCTAGCCTAATGTTAGTCAAACCTCAGTATTAACAATTTTCTCATATAAGTAAAGGAATTTCCTTAGATAAAACCTCATTTCATTTCAATCTACTCATTCTTGCTGAAGAGTGAAGGCAATAAGGATAAATGTACTTCACTGAAATAGCCTACATATAAAACCACTTTGAATCTTTGCATTTGCAAAGTGCTTTAAAATCATTACTCAGTTCTTCTGATATATATAATGTATAATATGTACATTATTGGTATTTTACTGTACTAAATAGATAATGAATATATCCACAAGAATGAGATTTGTATATCTATTATATTACTATAAGATAAAAGTCTGATAATTAAGAGAAGATACTGATTTGCTCAGGGTCAGCTAGTAAGGTATTGGCTGATACCTGCTTCTTTATTTTATTATTACTTATTACTAATAATAACTTACATCTTCAATTTGTTTTTTGTTTGTTTGTTTTTTTAGCTGAGCCATTCTGCCACCTGTTGGCAGCTCAGCAGCAGCTCAGCTCAGGCCAGGACTCGAACTGGTGACCCTGTTGCTCAGAGCTCACACTCTTGAGCGAGCTCTTAACCAACTGAGCCACTCGGCCGGCCCTTTACATCTTCAATTTGATACTTGCAATACTCCTATGTGGAAGAGAGTAATAGAAAGCATCCCTATTCTATGGATTGGGAAACTGAGGCAAAAATTTAAATCTTTTGCCCAAAGCTTTGAGGCATATAAACAGCAGATATGAGACCAGAATTAAGTCTTTTTTTCTCCATTAGTTGACATTATTTTCATCTGTCCCTGCTTAAACTCCATTTTTATATAAAGACAACATTAATGCAATAATAAATTTACTTCATAGAAAACAGTCTATACTTAATAAAAATGATTTTTACCCACCTTACTCTATATTATGGATCTAATTTCTTTCATTAAAATAATAATAATAATTATAATTATTATTATAATTATTATTATTATTATTTTAGCTGAGCCATCCTGCCACCTGTTGGCAGCTCAGCTCAGGCCGGGAATCAAACCGCTGTTGCTCAGAGCTCAAACTCTTGAGCGAGCTCTTAACCAACTGAGCCAATCGGCCTGCCCTTCATTAAAATAATTATTTATAAATCCCAAAACACCATGGGCAAAGGAATGCCTTTGTTTTCACCACAGCTATTATACAATTCTTTAAAAGCAAAAGATTTTCTTTCTGGTTTAATGTATCAGCATTAATAATAATGTTAACGGACACAATCATTAATATATTAATGTATATGAAATAACTACTAAACTACCTTCAGAAAACATGTGTAACTGTTAATTTCTATTTTTTGGTCTAACCTGTGATAAACAGATTCAATAGGCAGGTTTTCCTGGCACATAGGTTTCAACAGTCTTTGCCTGAGGGACCTCTTCTCTTTTAGCACTGCTTCCAAATGATTATTCATATTTTGTAGAGTATGACACTTTTCATCTACACAAACCAGAAACAGTAATTATAGTTAGGAATAGGACAAGTATGTTTTGAAATCACTAACAAATTCTTCTTTGCTTTGGTTTGACTCTACCAATGTCAAAGATTATTCCTCCATTTCCCTCCTAAATATCACCCCTTCGCTATCCTTAAAATCAATATCAATATCAATTTCATTTTCAACTATTTTCTCTTACTTTTCCTACTGACAACCAAACCCAGTGCTAAATTCTTTGTTTTTTTCAACTCTACTGCTAGTTCAGTTTTATAGCCACAGCCATATTCTTCACATAAATCTCTTTTCTCATTTCTGCTTCTAATATTCTACATAAACATTAAAAAACAAACATTTGTCTTATAAGCTATTTCTGATTATGTCAATTTTTTCCCCAGAATTCAATTAATAGCTGCCAACTGCCTTTTCTTTAAAATTTTTATTTTGAAAACATTTCAAACTTACAGAAGTTTCAAGAATAGGTCAATGAACTCTCATATACATTTCACCTAGACTCACTAACTGTTAACACTAGGCTATATTTTCTCTTTTTTCCTGTTTCTCTCCACCCTCTTACATATATTTTTGCTGACGCTTTTGAGAGTAAATTGCAGATATCAGGACCTTTTACCCCTAAAACTTCAGCATGTATTTCCCAAGAATAGGAACATTCTTATATAACTACGTTACAAGTATCAAATTCATAAAATTTCACATTGACACAATACTACCAATATTTAATACAGCCCATATTTAAACACTAAGTATCCCAATAATGTCCTTTATAGCAAAAAAAAATTTTCTAACCAAGTATTCAACCTATGACCATACTGTGCTTTAGCTGTCATGACCCTTTAGTCTCCTTCAGTTTGAAAAGTTCCACAGTCCTTTTTTGTCTTTCAAGCTCTCCTGACTTTGAGGAGTTCCTACCTTGGTCACTTTTTACTCAAGTTGCACTAGTCAAGACAACAGGACTTCTATTTAGGCACAAAAATAGAAAACTTGGTTAGTTTTGGAGAAATACCAGGAAACATAATTGTATATCCTAATGCCTGGTGCTTATTTAAGGTAATCCAAGAAAAAGCTGAAATTCCAATGATTACCCATTTAACCAAACCACTTACCCAAAAAGGAAGGATGAACAACATCAGCTGTATCCTTTTCTAGTCTTAGAAGTGCAATTTCCAGGTTTTTCTACAGTAAAAACAAAAATAATATTTAGGTCACTCAGAAAGTAGCCTGATATATAGACTTAAACTCTGATAAAAATGGACACTCTTTTAACTCAGAAATATTTAAGAGGGGTAAGAGGGGCTTTACTGAAGCTTTTCATTTTGGTGTTCAAGTCATGTTGTGCTCCTGCTATTACTACTAACTGCTACTATTACTATTACAACTACTATTAAGTACTTTAAGTAAACACCTACCCAGCTATGTGCTAGACACTGTTCTATGTACAAGAGAATTGCTGTTGGAACAAATTAAGATTTTTTTTTCCTGTACTAGAGGTAGAAAGTAAAGAGTTCAACATAATTTACCTGGTTGATTTCAGCTTGAATATTTGTGATCTGCTGTAGCTTGGAGAAGTTCACAAAACAAGAAGCTGATTTCTTAGATATATTTAACATCTCCTATTGGAAAGTGAACAGAGAAAGCAGCAGTATGTCACAAAAAAGTTTCTATGTGCATTGGAAAAGCATGCCCATGGGTCTAAAATATGAGGATATATTATGTCCAACACTGGCCCTGAAAAATGAAGTACAGAGTAGAACAGTAGCAATGTGTATTTCCTGTTTTTAAAGCCACCAATATCACAAACCCTTTGCCCAAATATTTAAAAATTAAGAACAAACAAGACTTAATCACTTTGTATTATTTCCTAAAGTATCAGGCACAATGGATTTGCATTACTGAGAGTTTAACAGAGGACTCTGAGGTTGGTAGAGAATCACCTCTACACAAAAGACCAAGACCTAGACTCTCAGATGTCGCCTTACAGCCGATTCTTAGACCACCCCCCCTGCATTAGCCTCTGACCCCTTAGTCGAGAGAGTG